ATTGTTAGCTCTTCCTAAAGATTATAAAAGCTATAATCCTCTGCTTTATTATAGAAGACTGAACAAGATGAATATCAACGACATCTCAGCGTTGAAAAAGACATTTCCTGTAACCGTGACATTTTGTGTAATTTATCTTCTGGAAGGAGTGTTGATCCTTCTGGGTAATACTTTCACCGTCTTTGTTTTTTGGAAGCGTCGAGCAGAGCTACAACGAACATCGTATCTTCTCGTAAATTTAGCTCTTGCCGATCTTTTGGTGGCAGTCGGCGTTTCACTAAGTTTGAGCAGTCAAGTCAAAATTTTTGTCACCAATGAATTTTCAACACAAGAGGAGTTTTTAAGCCTTTTCACCTGGGATGTGTTTTGTGAAGGATCTTCGCTGCTTAGTTTACTGGTAATATCTTTGGAGCGCCTCTATGCAGTTCGATGGCCTTTCCGACACCGTACTTTGCGCACCAGCAGCTATATCTACAGCATCGCATTTGCATGGATAACGTCAATAATCATGTCTGCTACTTTCTTCGCTCTGCTCTACCAAGAAGGTTCCCTCGCTGTCTTTGCTATATCTCCACTCCTTTTTGTTTTTCTGGTGCTCCTCTGTGTTGCAAATATTCTCATTTGCGTTCAGATGCGTAAAAATGTTCCTGAAGGAGTGAACCAAAAGCGAGCCTTGCAAAACAAGAAACTAAATAAGACTTTGTTGATTGTTACAATTCTTTCTCTCATTTTCTGGTTGCCTGGTGTTGTGATGGTGTCTGTTGTTAATGCGTTCGGCCCTGAATGTGCAATCAAAACATATGATGTATATCGCGGCCTAAAGATTTTGAATTTGGCAAATTCTATTGTAAATCCCTTAGTTTATGCATTTCGAATGCCATTATTCAAGTCTGAAATCAAGGAATGCTTTTCTAAAATTTGTCGCGCAAATAGAAATCGGATTGAGATTCGTAACCGCGATACAGCAACACAAGTGTGCGATGAAAATGTTCAAGGAGATGGATATTCAGAATGTCACGAAACCAAATTGTAATTTTTTCCCATATGATTTTTCCTCTCGACTGAGAAGTAAACTGTATTCTGCTGAGTAGCCTTTATTGTGCCAATGATCGGCAGCCTTCCAGAGTTTTATTGTAAGTTAGAGAAATATTAAAAGTGTTGAATCAATGATATACTCCACCAGGACCTCTGTTAGTCGCATAGTCAAGTGAAATGGCGTAGTTTTTAACAGACTGAGGCTCCAGCGAACATTCGCTTTCTGAAAAAAAGGGTGTAACGGCGCTTATGCATCGATCTCGCCACTTTATTTGCACTACAAAGAACACCAAAAAGAATATAGCGCAGCTGTTAATGATTGAAGGACGTTCTAATGGTAAGAAATCTAGATTCACATTTTTATGATCAAACATTACATTTTGTCTGCTGTTGACAAAATAAACGACAATATAAAAGATTGTCATGTACATTAGTGCTATGAACATGCAAAGGATATTTAACTCTTCAACTTTTAGTCAACGATTATGAAAAATTAGTTTTCCAAAAAAGGGTCTCACAAGTCAGTTGTTTAGGAACATCTCGAAATTCGATTTTCTACAAGCTTAGGATCTGATATTAAATTCTGATGTTGAAAATAAACTCGCCTCTATTAAATTGCAGCTGTCATCAAAACGAAGCAGGTTTAATGACATGAAAATTGTGATGAGGGCCTGATAATAAATTATTTAAATTGCAAATGTCTTATGCTCGGGCATCAACAGCGTGAGTACCGCTTTAACAGTACAATGCCATCGATTTCCACACCCTTTGTAAGAGAACAAAACTCAGCTATTCGGATTCATCTCTGAGGATGAAGACTTCTTTGCCACCTGCGTTTAGCGTAGTATTTTTTTTGGAAGGAGTGTCAATCCTTTTAGGAAATATTTTTACTATCTTCGTTTTCTGGAAACATCGAGCGGAGTTGAAAAGAACTTCGTATCTTCTTGCGAATTTAGCTGTTGCTGATCTGTTAGTGGCAATCAGCATTTTGATCGTTTTGGGCCGCGAAGTGCAAAACCTGGCTGAAGGCCATAATAATTTGATAAAACGATGGCAATTTATCTTTTTTATGATTTGGGACACGCTATGTGAAACAGCCTCGCTGCTAAATTTACTAGTGATATCACTGGAGCGTCTTT